CACTTTCTTATACACTTGTCTGTGACAGGGCATTTTTTGTCTGTGAATCGGCGTGTTTTGTCTGTCACAGACAAAAAAAAAATCCGCAGACAAAATACGCAAATTTTGTCAGTGAATCTCGTTCACAGACAAAAAGAATGATCTACCACAGGCAAGTGTATAAGAACGTGTATAAAAGCACGTCTATAAAATAGATTTTTTGTTCAGAAAATTGCCACGGCTAACCAACAAGCATAGGCCACCCGTGAGTTACGAGTACTCGCGAGTAAATGACTCAGATCTAGGCTTAATGCCATAAATGCAATAGTATGCAGCAGCTAAAAGCCTAAAAGTACTACAAAAGCTTTGGAATTGAACTACTTTAAACTTTATCGGTTGCATTGTGGACCCAGGTATCGGATCGAACTGCGGACTGCGCTAGTACAAAAAATATTTTTAAAAAGATTTTATATAGGGTATTTTTAAAAAAGCTGAAAAGAGTGTTTCAAATGACAGCGTTTGCTTAAATTAAGCACTTAAAAGTTAAAAGTTAGAAAAAAGTGGAAGGGTGTTTTAAACTGCTTTTTACTTTTTCTATTACTCTGTACTAAAGAAGCACTTATTTTACTAAACACTATTAACTTTTACTTTTTCAGTCATTTTTTTCAAACGCTACTAATTTTTACTACTACTTTCGTCCCCTAAAACTTTGTCAAGTTTGACCGACACGGAAAATAATAAAGTAGAAACTGTGTGCATGATTAAGGTTTATGCAAAAGAGAGAGAACTAACAGAAAACACAAAAAATTGATTAAAAGTAGAAGTGAGAAAGTTTTTAAGAGAGAAAAGTAGTATTAAATGCTTTCTCCAAAATCACTTAAAAATTAATTTTTTTTTAAAATAGACCAATTGCAAACACTCCCTTTTGGACCAAGTACTTTCGTATTTGCGTGACGCTTTTTATCGGAGTTTTACTTTTAATGTTTAGTTTTATTCTTTTGAAGTTTTGTAGTGCTGAGTACTTGGTTGTGCCGTGGTGGACCGGTGGTCCTGTAGCTTTATCGGAGTTTTACTTTTAATGTTTGGACCCACCCGCCGCTAAAAGCAGCGGTTTCAAGTTAAAAAAAAACAGCGGTTTCATGAATCCGCTATTATCCAAACAGACCCTAATTAAATTAGTATCGGTTAATTAATTTATCCGCTATTAATCCGCACCCACCCACCCTAATTAACCGCTAGTATCGGTTAACCAAAGCTTCGGTTAACCGAGTATCGGTTAACCAAAACTTCGGTTAACCACAAACCGGTTAACCAAAAACCATCACACCATTGATTAAATATATACACACACCATGTTCTTTCTATATTAATTAAGTCCAAACAAGAGAAATAAATTTTGAGAGTGGAATACAGGAAAAGATAAAATACACTTAATAAGAATAAACATATTCAATTGCTTCAAAAAAATAATACACATGTTCAAGTCTCACGATTGCAGAATGGGCTAATTAATTATAACTCACAAAAGCTTTGACTAATTATTAATAATATGAAATTAAAAATTCTATAGTGACAAACAAAATTTGGTTTCTTCACATGTTTATTAGAATTGATGTATCTAGATGTGTTGGATACATATTTATCTTTCCAAGTTCTCTGAGAACGTGAAGTTCATGACCTGATATGAACATACCGGTTATTGGTTAACCGATAATAACATATTTCTAAAACCGTAACCGTACCGCGAACAGTTTATTCTCACGGTTGGTTAACCGTACCGTGTATTTAAAAAATTGCGGTTCGGTTAACCGAGAAAAACGGCGGTTTTCCGGTTTTTAGGCGCGGTTATACGGTTACGGTTTTTTATGCCCACCCCTAGTGCTGAGTACTTGGTTGCGTGACGCTTTTTATCGGAGTTTTACTTTTAATGTTTATTTTTATTCTTTTGAACTTTTGTAGTGCTGAGTACTTGGTGGACCAGTAATGCCATTATTAGGACTAGTATTGGTAGTAGCTTTATCTTGCTTTAATTTCTTTTCCTGTAATTTTGTTGATGTTGGAAAAATGTGTGTTAAAAATTGCATTAAATGGTCATTTAGGGCAATTATTTGAGTGGGGTCCACTTCCGATTTGGGTCGGGTCAAAGTGGTTTCGGATTGTCCTTGTTAAGGGCTACAATTCGATATATGGTACGCTCAAAACGGATAACGGGTGAATGAGAAATTGATTCTCGAAGTTCACTTGTTAAAATGGAAAAACTGAGAAAATGATGGGTTTATAGTGTGTTTTATACGACACCGGAAAACTCAAAGGATTTTCACCCCCTTATAAAGGGAAGCCTCGTTTAAGGAGTTAAGATTCCTAAAGGTAAAGGCTCTCTCTTACGCGCAAGGGGGGTGCCGATCAAATCCCGAAATGAGAAGAAAAACCGCGACTCGTGTGCGCGGGCGATCTGCAGACACGAATGCCGTCCGAAAAATATATCATTCAAAAATACGATTTAACTTTTGTTTCTTCCTGTAACGTTCCTTAACAGAAGACCTCAGGTCCTCAGGGCTCTTCTGTTGGCTTTTGGAATAGAATACCTAAGACGTTACGAAAGTTAATGCCCGACGTTCTTGTCTTTTAATGCTGCGTTAAATGGACAGTTTATGGACGATTCAATGCCCAACGGACTGGTCATTCATGTCCAATATTCAGGTCCATTAACACTACATTTAACACACAACAAATCCTCTTATAAATAGTTGGCAGGTGCTTTGCAACAAACACACGTTCTTATACGTTCACTAGCAATCTGCACGTAGTTTTTAGCTCTTAAATACTTCCAACTACTCCGAAATTTCCTGAGTGTTCTCCTTTGTTCCCGTTCACCGGAACTCTCGTTTGTGTGCTCAAACGTTACTTCGTTAGCCACTGTATCCTGGGAAACGATCGTTGCAACGCTCCTAGCATCGTGGGAGGCGACGAATACGTTTTAAAGACATCGTGCGTACCACGAGCTCTGGCTAAACTCTGTTCCATCTTATTTCTGTTTTTCTTTAGCTATTTCAATTAATTAATTATTTTTATTAAATAATATTTCTTCGTTTTTCCAAGACATGGACACACCCAACAGTTGAAGTGATCACTAGCTTACTGGAACTATTATATGTACTCCTTATTTACAAAAAAAAGGATGACACCCCATCACTAAGGCCCGCCAACCCCGATCAGACAGTACTTTGGGAGGATGTAAGTTGGTTTATAATCACAATCTGACAGATAGAGAGTGATGCTCTGTCTCCGGTACTTACAGAGGTCCTATGCATTTTTAGCATGTGTACTCCTTATTTACGAATTGTGCAGTAGAATTTGCCTATAATTCTATTGTTATACGGAGTATACTTTTTCCATTCTTAAATAAACATTTCATTTTTATTACCGACGTCCGAGATAACGCATTATTATATGACTAGGTTTGTCATTATTGCATATTCTTGTCATATTAACGCATTCAGACTGCATGGGACGTCTAAACATTTCTCACATGCACTTTCCAATTATGTCCTTAAATTTGGGCGGCCAAATTCACTCCAAAGGTAGTAACAACTCGGCAAAATTCCCATTGAAGTCTGTGTGTTTTCAAAACGAATTCAATCACAATACTAATACGTAATATAGTGAAGTAGAGATCGTATGCGAGAAGATGTATTTATTCTGTACATCACCCTGATCGATATGAGAACTAAAATGTCAAATGACTGATGCAATGAACTCAAAGACCTAACAACCTACAAATAAAATGGTCGGGCCGGGATTCTGATATTACAAGGAGCATGTACGTTACTCCTTTGCCGGGTAACACTTATCTTCAGATTTAATACAGAAAATCCTATATCTGTAATTATGTGACTCCTTCTTCGCCGAGTAATTTATTAGAGCTAACACTCAGACACCGGTGGTGAAATCAGATTTTTTTCTTAGGGGGTAACGAGAAATACCTGAAAGCACGAGATTGTTTTGTCTTTTTATTTTGTTGGGCAGTAGATTTTGAATAATCTCTACTCCTCAGTATTAGCAGTTTTAATATATACTCCGTATGTTTAATTAACCTAATAAATTATACAGCAATAAGCTCATACGATAATTTAATACTCCGTATATGAAAATTCACTATTTTAAATGTTTTTTCCTTAAATGGCTTCATTGCCTTGATTTATATATAATCCCTATATTTAATAAAAATAAATACTCCATCCATCCTTAATTGCAGTATTGAACACATACTAATTAGGGCATTATTTTCCCATGTCCCTTTTACTAAACCGTAAAGTTAACTATAGAGTACAGTACTGTTTTAACTTTTACATATAAGTTTGTTTATGGACCGGATTGCAATTTGTAGTATTCCCTTCGTCCCATATTTATCTTCGTAGTTCGGTTTACGATTCTTGACTGACGATAAAGCTACTTGATCCTTGTTCACACTCAGATTATTTTTAGTAAATTAAATTTACATATTCATAAACTACATTAAATTCGCTACAAAGTCTGATCAAGAAAAATTTAGTTTGATAAAAATTTGATATATAAAGTAAAAGATTAAAAGTAATTTGAGTTGACCATGTGAATAGTAACTATGAAGATAAATATGGGACGGAGGGAGTATATTACTACCTGCATTCCAAAAAATTCTTCCTACTTACCTTTTTCTGATATCCCAAAAATTTCTTCACATTTTCCTTTTTGGAAAGATTTGTGTGACTACCATTCATTTACCTTTTTCATACTCAATCACAATCATACATTTCCACTTTATTTCCATTTTCTTAAACTCCGATCCAAGTTAAAACGAGAATAATTTTCCGAGACGGAGGGAGTAGTAAAGTACTAAGTTAGTAGTGTATGCTTTCATTTATAGGGACTAGGTTGCAATTTATCATACTAGATTATTTAAATGTAGGGACTAGGTTGCAATTCATCATATTTATCATGAAACGATGCCAAAGTGCCAAACTCTTTTCCCACACCCAATTGAGAAGGCACCATAAAATTTTCGTAATTATATAAACACTGCATTACATAATCACACCCAATAACCTCCTTTCAAGAACAAAACAGACTATCCTCCTTTCACAAAAATCAGAAGGGCACTTTCATCTAATTTTCCCTTGATTATGGTTCTTTTTCTTGGCGTAGCTCATGTTAAGGGGATAAGTTCCCCCCTAAACAGAGCATTCTCCAATGTCAGTGCATCGGAACTCCAAATACCGGACATAGCGAGGCGTGCAAGAAAAATGCCAGCGGGAGTTGTTCAGTTCACTGTACAAGGAACATATGCCCCCTTCCTTGCTGGGTAATTTATGAAACACTGTGTTTTACATTATTCATCTCAAATTTGACGCACATATATTCAACCCTGAGAAAATTAGTACAGAAAATACGAACCTTCATTTTATTGTGCAAGCTAGCTACCAGAATATACGTAGTAAGATATGAGCGGGCTTGGGTTGTGGGGTAGGCTCGTTCGGGCCAATAATTCCGACCCGCTACATTTAGTATATATATATATATATATATATATATATATATATATATATATATATATTTATATATATACTAATTTATTTATTTATTTATTACATATACACATGTATATTTTATTTACTAATTTTCTTTATACATATTTAAAGTTTATTGTGTTTAAATTTAAATTTTTAGTTTTGAACAAGTAGCCCAACCAATATAATATCTATTTTTGTACTTAAAGATAACACTTTGTGCTTAAATTTTAAAATTTAGATATAATTTCTCATTATTATGTTTGTGTAAGTATTTTTTTTGTATGTGGTGAAAGACCTATAAACATTATAAGTATATTAACAATTTTTTAAATGTTGTAATATTATTTTTAAAGCATTAAAAAAATCATACTTCGTATAATTTTGAAAAAAATAAAGTTTTCCCGGGCCGGGCGGCCCGGTGGACTACCCAGCCCTCTCTTACGGGCAGATATGGACATGTGGTTAGGCCCGTTTTTGCGGGCCGGGCCGGACCCGCCCACACATGATGGTAAGAAATTTTATAAAAAGCTCGGCCCGAGCCCGGCCCGAACCCATTTTTGTACATGTCTACTTGAAACGTAGTTATAAATCTTATAATCTTAATCATCACTAAAAGTTCGATGAAGCAAGCAAGTAATAGAGATGCAATTAATGTACATACTTGTTGCTAAATTTATAGTTAATTAAGATTATTGTGGTTGCATTAACACTTAGCTTTAATCCATTTCAAGTGAGCTTAAATGATCCTACATAGCATACTATTTTTATGCTCCATTTTGTAATTGAAAAAAAAATTGGGGGCAAAAGAAACAATTCATAGGGTGTAAGTACTTTAAGTATATAAGTAATACGTACAATTTTTTCCTATACCTTTGTCGGTTTGTCCTATTCCAAAAAAATTATTGATGGCATGTGCCCGGCCCATTATTTAACTATATAAATAATACGTTTAATTTTCTGGTTACCAGCCTAGACAGGCAATTTTCTTAACTCGTTGACAATAATTGACATGTTGGATTTACTGAGCTACTCAACAAACACTGATGATTTTTTTTGGGTGAAATCTTAAAGCTGTAATAATTTATATGGAAATTTAGAATGTTTTATGATTTTGGCTACTTTATGATTAGTTTTATTGTTAATATTTTACTCCGTATTATTCATATCTAAGACTTAAAAGACTAATACTATGTAAATTACTAGATTTTTGAGGCATTTATATGTTTAAAAATATTCAAATATACCATTGAACTTTACGTGTTGAATATTTTTTTGAATAAACTTTCATTGTGCAAAATTAAAATAAATTTTTATATAAAGTTCGGGATATGTATATTATATATGTATATTTGTAGTATTTATCTCACACCCTTAAGCGTTTGGAATATTTATATTATTTTTCTCTTTTAAATATATATATTTAAAATACTATGACCACGTTACGTTACCTTTGGCCACCTAGATTTAACTTGCTAACACACATGTGTTGGCATAATCAGGCAAGTCCAGCATCAATGTAACATAATCTAATACTCCCTCCAGTTCTGAAAGATCTTTACACTTTCCATTTTTAGCAGTACCAGAAAGATCTTTACACTTCTTTATTTGTCTTATTTGGCAAATAAATCTACACAAAACAGTGCGAAACAGTGTCAAACAGTGTTTATTTCCTTAAAATTGTGAAGTCAAAGTGTCAAGATCTTTTGGAACCGGAGGGAGTATATAAAACTTTCAATGCAATTTCCGAAATACAGATTTTAAATAAATAAACTTATTTAATTGTCCGTAGAGGTGATTTAACTCTATTGTCAACCCACCTTTTTTTGAACTAATCGTCAATCTACCTTAAAATTCGTAAATTACAATTCAATTTAGTATCGAGAAAGTACAAAAAATGAAGATAGAAGATATATTTTCGTATCTATACTAGAGATGGCAATTTCATCCAACCTGTTGGATACACGCACCAAACCGATTTGGTCAAAATGGGGAAAACCAGTTTGTTTGGGGAACGGGTACGGGGCGGGGAATACCTGATTTTTTTTAATGGATAATGGTGCGGTTATGATTCTATACTAATCCGCCCCGTTATGGTTCTATACAGTCGTATGGGGCACATACTACGTAGTAATATGCTATAACATCACTTGCACAAAAACCAAGGGATTGACAGGAATTTTGGCAGGGAAATGCCAAATCTGTGCCAAAAACACTTTCGCACGAGCTATTTGGCACAAAAAATCAGTAAGTTCGTGCCAAATTCTATGTCAATCCCGTAATTTTTTTTGTAGTGCATGTTTCGTTACAACACTAGAGGCAAAAGAATAAATTAAAGGAAAATCCCCGAAATAGAATTAAATCAATAAGTAATGAAATTGCCAAATCAGTAATATGCAATTTCAAACTAGGACTGCCCTGTTTTATTTCTTAATTAGGAATATATGTTGCCCAAAAATTGTGTCATGTTTAAATTCTGATATTGCCAAATTGTGACAATAATTACTTTTACCGAGAATAAAAGCATGACAATTATATTTGGAAACTTATAAAAGTTTTTAATCATATTTAGTGAAATTCCTCATAAACTATTGAATTCTTCCAAGTGTGGTTATGTTCCTTCCTGATTCCATAATATTCAGGGACATAAGTAATTTATCAAAGCTATGTATCGAACGTTCGTTGACAACGCTTCTTCTCTGAATTTTTTTTCCCTTTTCTGTGTCCCAATTAGCCTTTCAAAACTCTGAAATTCCCAGTGTTATCGATATACATGCAGTGGGATAACTTAATTTGGTGATGTTCGTCGTTCCCTAAATAGGACAAAAACAGTGAAAAAATGCACAAATCGAACCTCCATGTTTTATAGGACTAAAAATGTACATACTTTACAAAATTACCCTTGTGGTGTTTTTGAGAGTTGGTTTTGGGAGGGGAGGGAAAGACATGTGAGGGAAATAAACCCTCGTATTTGTGTTTCGGAGTTTAAATAATACGAGGGAAAAGTTTTGGGGGTGTTATAAAATCTTTCTAAACCCTCCAAAAACTGGATTTTCTAATTCCCCCGATTTAAGGGTTTTATAAGGTTTAGCTAGTTATTAGCAACGCAAATGAGAGATTGATCCTCTGAAACTACAACCGCTTCCGCATAAAATCTTTATGAGCTGCTACTCGCTTCATTCTTCCGCAGCTGAAACCCCTCAAGTCCCCAAACTCTCCTCTTTTGAAATTTGCAACTCCCAAATGAGAGGAGAAAAATCCCTTCCCATCTCCCTCCCCTTCCCTTCTCTCTACTCCCTTTTAAAGCCTTCCTCTTCCATCACCCTCAAACTCCCAAACACACCCTTAATGAATTTGTAAATCTATTTACAATTAAAAATAAAAAAAAATGAAAAACTTTCTAAAACCCTAATTTCCACAGCCGCATCAAGCATTCAAGGAGTCGTTGCCCCCACTTTAATTCCGTCGCTGCCACTTCAATCCTGCCGCCGCCACTTCCGGGACTGTCACGCCAGGCACTATCACGACCATCACTTCCGGCGTAGCCATGCCGACACGATCACCGTCGTCGCTTCGAGCACCACTGATGCCGGTTTTGATAATAAAAAATGTCATGTTGCTGCAAAAAAGGGACATTTTATTAAAAAATGAACATAATATTGGCAATTCCTTTAATTAAATTTGGCAGTTTGTTGAAGAAAACAATATTTTTCTGCTATCTTTTCTTAAAAAATAAACATAATATTGGCAATTCCTTTAATTAAATTGGACAGTTTGTCAGCCAAAACAATATTTTTCTACCATACATATGCAAATTTGCTCTACAATTGGCAATGTTTACAAATCGATGTGAAAATACAATTTTTTTTGCCAGAACATTTTACACGAAAATGCCAAATATTTGGCAAAGCAAGAACCAATATCCAAAATCGGGAAAACCAAAGTTTTTAAACAACAACCAAACCTTAATCCCAAAAGAATTTGGGGTTTTTAAAGAAATCTGAAATTTTTTAAAATAAAAAATCATAACTACGAAATAAATCAATGCCCACAAATGAGATAAATGGATGCCAAAACTTAAAACTTTTTTTTTTCATTTTCATTTACCCCAGTGCCGCAAAGGCTCCCACCTACGGTGGGGTAAGGGGGGGTCGGATGTACGCAGTCTTACCCCTGTACTAAAGCATAGAGAGACTGTTTCCGGATGACCCATAGTGAAAATCGTGTCCAAGATTGCATGGACTGACTGCTGCTCCATAACAAAGAAGCGCAGACAGTTTAGTGAGCCATTTTGCTTTATTCCATCATAATTTCAAGCCAAAAAATAATGAATCTTTGGCTCCATTGCAAATGATGGAAACTTAAAACTTGAATGTAATAAAAAAGTTCTACCAAAAACCAATAAAATCAGTGAATAATTTGATTTTTAAATGAAAAACGGAGAGAAGAAGAAGAAGAAGAAGAAGAAGAAGAAGAACAAAGAAGAAGCAAACCTAGAAGAAGGGGAGTGGTGACAGTAGCATTGCAGGACGACGAGAGTGAAAGAAGGGGGTCTTCATATGGAGAACCAATGTCGAAGAACACGAATGAAAATTTAGTTCTAGGGTTAGATATTACTCCGTATATAAGAGGGCATTGTGATAATCCGGAGTCCTATTTGGGGAACTAAAAACATGTAATCGAGAATTAAACCAATTACTATTTTCGATAATCCGTGATTCTAAGATGATCCCCTTGTTTTACTTAGGCATGGCAATGGGTCAGGTCAGGGCGGGGCGGGTACTGCAAGACCCAGACCCGCCCCGTGACCTGCACGGGTCCAAACTTGTTGACCCATGCCCCGCCCCATGAGGGGCAGGTCTACCCCGCCTCGCCCCGTCGTAACCTATTTAGCTAGTATGTATTTTTATAATTGTGAGAAGTTTTTACCAATTGATTTTACATAAAGTTTATCTTTAAATAATAATTAAAAATTAATATATTAAATCAAATTCACGATACGCTAGAAATTTCAAAAGTTAAAGAAAAATCACTTAAACTTGAATAGTTAATATATTTAATTATATTAATACTGGAATATATGTATTAAAATGCTATATATAAAGAAGACATTGATAATCCGGGGTTCATCTCAATCTAATATATATATTGATATATTATAAGATCAAAGAATTTATGATTTATTGTATACACACATATATATGTTGAAGTATATTTGTAGTATAATTTAAAAAAAATATGTATATACTTATATATTGAGCAGGTCAGGTCAGGGCGGGGCGGCATGGGTCAATACTAATACCCACACCCACACCATTGTATAGGCAGAGCGGGGTGGATCCGCCCCATACCTGTTGGGGCGGGCTGAACCTGACCAAATGTCTCAGGCCAGGGCGGGCCATTGCGGGTCCGGTTTTTTTGACATCCTAGTTGTACTGTCAATCTTATTTTCGTTCAGCTTAGCAAATTCACTGTACCCATCTTGTTATTTTGCTTCAGACTTCACTGCACTCGAGTTCCATTGGGTTCACCGCCATTGGAATTCCACGTCCAGATAGACACCGACAGTGAAATTTCATGGGTCAGTTGTGCATTGTGCAATGGCTGCCCACTATCTAGCGGATTTCCGGTATGATTACAGTCATTTTTTCCCTTTTCAATTTCCCAGAATTTAAGTTTGCTGTTATCATTAAATTAAAATTTGACTGACCTAAATTTCTTTTGCAGTTCCACCTTCAATTCTTCAACCCGCAAAGCTCCTCTACATCTTCATTTATCCCATGCTCGGATCATCGGTGTGCTTCCCACAACCATGAATGTTCAAGCAGTAATAATATATGCAAATACAACTTTTCATATGGTGATGGTGGGGAGACAGCAGGTTACCACATTGCTGACAAAATTCATTTGGATATGATTAATGGAAATAAATCTGCTTCAAGTGTGATTCCCATTGTATTTGGGTGAGCCTTTTATTGTTTTATGTTTAACCAATAAATTTCGATATTCCGATGTTACAAGCTTTTCAATTGGTAGTATTTTGTTTACGGCGTAAGTTGTGATATGACAGGTGTAGTACTTATCAGCTCGGATATTTGACACAAAGCAACCTGGCACTTGATGGGATCTTCGGGTTTAATCGAAATAAAATGTCCATTATCTCGCAGCTCTCCTCCGAAGGTGTCGTCCCAAAAGTATTCTCCCACTGCCTAAAAGGTGGAGAGGGCAATTTTTTTTGTGCTTGGTGAGGCAGTCGGGTTGAATCTCATGTGGACTCCCCTCGCTCCACCCAAGTATGTATCTTGTTCCTTCAATTTCATAAGCTAGATGTTCCTTTGAGATTCAAACATGCACTCGTGGTTTACTCTCATGTGTACAAAATGTTCATTATCACCTTTATACTACGTATATAATTATATTTTTCCTTTATTAAGAGTGCTACCCAACCTCAAATGAGTGGCACACTATTAAGAGTATTACTCGACCTCTAATGAATGTTTACTTTTGTCTAAATGACATTTTATGCTAGCGCATGTCCTTTCCAGTAGAGCTAGATTATGAGAAATATGTGTACACCCACTACTACAAAAAATACTTTTTGAGTCGCATATAAAGTTATACACACTAGTGTAGAAAACACTTTCTATATGGGTTAAAAAACACAATTCTAAACTTCCTTTACGCATCGCTTTAGAAGCGATGCAATAGCCACTGATGCATAAAGTAACGTGTCTATTGCATCACTCTTTAAGTGATGCAATAACTAACTTTACACCTCGCTTATTTTAATGAGGCGACTTTAAAAGTACATTTTCACATTTACTATATGCATCACTTTTAAAGTGTAGGTGACTCATAAAGTATTTATCCCGGTGGTCAGGTAAGAGAGGAACAGAGTAACCTAACTAGCCGGAGATGTCACCAATTGCCTGAGCTCAAATCAGACGACATCAAACCCACCATCCATCTTTATCCCCTCCAGGTAGCAAGTCGTTCACCAAGTAGCAGCCCACCAACAAAACTGCTTCCAAAGTTACTTACCGTTGTTAGTGGTGGGGACTCTGTTTTCCGGCGCAAGTGAGCAGAGAAAACAAGACTTTCAACAAGAACCTAGAGTAACCCAAGAGGGCTTCTGGTCGTCAGAAGACCCTTAACCATTCCCAACTAGTCGAACGGCCTCCTAATCCCACCATCCGTCACTCCCAAATAAGGCAAATTTCGGCGAGGTAAAGCGGCCGACCTGGTATGTAACACTGCCTGCATGCGGTCAAAACCTTCAAGGCTAGACCCACTATCAAAACAGTCAAGTCCAAGCTTGTCCAACCCGTTCACCATCATATCATCCCCCCAAATCAAAGATGAAGTCATGAAGCCACAGATACTAACTGTTTTCTTAGTCGGAGAAGGTATTTTTCCGGTGAGCTTTGCCTTCCGGTGGCCTAGGACGTACGCAAATATTCATCTCCATGTTAACGAACATCACATCTGGTTCATATCCGTAGGTCTCAAACCCCACCTTTTCGCACCAAACCCCCATGCCAGACCCATTCACCTCCGTTACACACCCCCATCTCAAGCTAGTATCTGGCGTTACTAACTGTCAGCGACGGTGACTCAGCACTTTCTGGCGAGATCTTATAAACCATTGGACAACATCCAGTAAACCATGCTCCATTAGATCTAAGAATGAATTACAGTAACGAGAATCAAACTACCCAAGAGAAAGGGCAATAACAATTCAACCAACAGCCTCACAAATACCACCGAAGTGGTGGAGGAGTTTTCCAAAAATGACCATAGCACCTAAAAGACCCGCCGGAGCTATGAGGGCCCTAGCGGGGCCGCCACCGTGAGTGGTGGTGCCGACCTGAAGAAGAACGGGTGGGGAAGAATCTGGCCGTGAATGGCTAGACAGAGACACTCTCGACTTCCCAACCCCACTTAGCTCTTTGGGAGTGCCTGCTATAACATGTTTCATTATATCACTAGAGGCAAAAGAATAAATTAATGGAAAGTCCCTGAAATGGAATTAAATCAGTAAGGAATGAAATTACGAAATCAGTAATATGCAATTCCAAAATTGCTGAGTTTGGAAAACTATGTCATGTTTAAAGTCTGATATTGCCAAATCGTGGCAATAATTACTTTTACTTTGAGAATAAAAGTATGCCAATTATATTTTGAAACTTATAAAGTTTTTAATCATATTTAGTGCAATTCCTCATAAACTATTGAATTCTTCCTAGTGTGGTTATGTTCCCTACTGATTTCATAATATTGAGGGAGATAAGTAATTTATCAAAGCTATGTGTACTGAATTTTCGTTAACAACGTTTCTTCTCTAATATTTTATCCCTTTCATGTGTCCCAATTAGTCTTTCAAAGCTTTGAAATTCCATGTGTTATCGATATACATGCACTAGGGACAGTTTGGTGATATTCATCATTCCTCAAATAGGACTAAAACAGTGAAAAAATGCACAAATAGAACCTCCATATTTTATAGGACTAAAAATGAACATACTTTACAAAATTACCCTTAATGAATTTGTAAATCTATTTACAATTAAAAAGAAATGAAGAACTTTCTAAAACCCTAATTTCCACAGCCGCATTGAGCATTCAAGGAGTCATTATCCCCACTTCAATTCCGCCGCCGCCACTTCAATCCTGTCGCTGCCACTTCCGGGAATGTTACGCCGGGCAACATCGCCACCATCACTTCCGGCTTAGCCATGCCGACCCATCGCTCCCGTCGCTTCGAGCACCACCGATGCCGATTTTGATAAAAAAATGTCATGTTGCTGCAACAAAAGGGACATTTTATTAAAAATGAACATAATATTGGCAATTCCTTTAATTAAATTTAGCAATTTATCGAAGAAAACAATATTTTTCTGCCATCTTTTTATAAAAAAGAACATAATATTCGCAATTTCTTTAATTAAATTTGACAGTTTGTCAAACAAAACAATATTTTTTTGCCATAATATCATATGCAAATCTGCCATACAGTTGACACTATTTTCAAATCGATGTGAAAATACAAAATTTCTGCCAAAACATTTCACATGAAAATGCCAAATATTTGGCAAAGCAAGAACCCAATATCCAAAATCGGCAAAACCAAAGTTTTTACAGAAATCGGAAATTTATTAAAATCGGAAATCATAACTACGAAATCAATGCCCAGAAAAGAGATAAATCGATGACAAAACTCAAAACTTGAATGAAATAAAAAAGTTCTACCAAAACCAATAACATCAGTGATAATTTGATTTTTAAATGAAAAACAGACAGAAGAAGAAGAACAGAGAAGAAGAAGCAAACCTAGAAGAAGGGAAGTGGTGATGGTAGCATTGCAGGACGGCGAGAGTGAAAGAAGGGGGTCTTGATATGGAGAACCAATGTCTTGACAGTAGCATTGTCTAGGGTTTGATACTCCCTCCGTCCCATAAAAGTTAGCCCAATTTCCTTTTTTAGCCGTCCCGAAAAAAGCTTGTCAATTCCATTTAAAGTAAGGAATATGTGTCTAAAGTTATTTCTCTCTCCTCTGCACAAATTTCAACCACACAGTTTTTACTTTATTAATCTACGTGTAAGACGGAGGGAATATGTGTCTAAACTTTGGCCATGTTTTTTTAGACGGAGGGAATATTATATAAAACGGCATTATGATAATCCGGAGTCTTGCGGAATTAAAAACATGTAGTCCTATTTAGAGAATTAAGTTTAATTTTAGTCGACAATTACCATTTTCGTTAATCCGTGATTCTAAGATGATCCCCTTGTTTTATTGTTGATCTTATTTTCGTTCAGTTTAGCAAATTCACTGTACCGATCTTGTTATTTTGCTTCAGACTTCACTACACTCGAGTTCTATTGGGTTCACCGCCATTGGAATTCCACGTCCAGATAGACACTCGCAGTGAAATTTCATGGGTCAGTTGTGCATCGTGCAATGGCGGTCCACTATCTAGCGGATTTCTGGTATAATTGCAGTCTTTTTTCCCTTTTCAATTTCCCAGAATTTAAGTTTGCTGTTAACACTAAATTAAAATTTGACTGACCTAAATTTCTTTTGCAGTTCCACCTTCAATTCTTCAACCCGCAAGGCTCCTCTACATCTTCGTTTATCCCATGCTCGGATCATCGATGTGCTTCCCACAACCCTGAATGTTCAAGCAGTAATAATCTATGCAAATACGACATTACATATGGAGATGGTGGGGAGACAGGAGGTTACTACATTGCGGACAACATTCATTTGGATATGATTAATGGTAATAAATCTGCTTCAAGTGTGATCCCCATTGTATTCGGGTGAGCCTTTTATTGTTTTATGTTTAACCAATAAATTTCGATATTTGGATGTTACGAGCTTTTCAATTGGTAGTGTTTTGTTTACGGCGTAAGTTGTGATATCACAAGTGTAGTACTTATCAGCTCGGATATTTCGCACAACGCAACCTGGCACTTGATGGGATCTTCGGGTTTAATCGAAATAAAACTTCCATTATCTCGCAGCTTTTCTCCGAAGGTGTCATCCCAAAAGTATTCTCCCACTGCCTAAAAGATGGAGAGGGCAGTTTTTTTGTGCTTGGTGAGGCAATCAGGTTGAATCTCATGTGGACTCCCCTCGCTCCACACAAGTATGTATCTTGTTCCTTCAATTTCATAAGCTAGATGTTCCTTTGAGATTCAAACATGCACTCATGGTTTACTCTCATGTGTACAAAATGTTCATTATCACCTTTATACTACGTATATAATTATATTTTTCCTTTATTAAGAGTGCTACCCAACCTCAAATGAGTGGCACACTATTAAGAGTATTACTCGACCTCTAATGAATGTTTACTTTTGTCTAAATGACATTTTATGCTAGCGCATGTCCTTTCCAGTAGAGCTAGATTATGAGAAATATGTGTACACCCACTACTACAAAAAATACTTTTTGAGTCGCATATAAAGTTATAAACTTCCTTTACGCATCGCTTTAGAAGCGATGCAAAAGCCACTGATGCATAAAGTAACGTGTCTATTGCATCACTCTTTAAGTGATGCAATAACTAACTTTACACCTCGCTTATTTTAATTCGGCGACTTTAAAAGTACATTTTCACATTTACTATATGCATCGCTTTTAAAGTGTAGGTGACTCATAAAGTATTTATCTCGGCGGTCAGGTAAGAGAGGAACAGAGTAACCTAACCAGCCGGAAATGTCACCAATTGCCTCAGCTCAAATCCGACGACATCAAACCCACCATCCATCTTTATCCCCTTCAGGTAGCAACTCGTTCACCAAGTAGCAGCCCACCAACAAAACTGCTTCCAAAGTTACTTACCGTTGTTAGTGGCGGGGACTCTGTTTTCCGGCGCAAGTGAGCAGAGGAAACAAGACTTTCAACAAGAACTTAGAGTACCCCAAGAGGGCTTCTGGTCATCAGAAGACCCTTAACCATTCCCAACTAGTCGAACGGCCTCCCAATCCCACCATCCGTCACTCCCAAATAAGGCAAATTTCGGTGAGGTAAAGCGGCCGACCTGGTATGTAACACTGCCTGCATGCGGTCAAAACCTTCAAGGCTAGACCCACTATCAAAACAGCCAGGTCCAAACTTGTCCAACCCATTCACCATTGATGTGAATTTTCTCGCACTTAAAAAGATTGTAATATAGCGGTGAAAGTACGAGTATCGTCTAAACAGGGACGGTAAAAGGGAATTAAGAATTAACTAAAATCAGCGATAAAGAATAAATAAAACAAATGCGGTCGTGCGAGAATTGGTTGCATTAGAAAACTAAAATTTCAAATAAATGACTAAAAGTAAATATTTGGGTTCTTCTTAATTAACGACGAAGGGAACAGGGATTGATTCCGGGGTAATCAGATTTCTGGCAGATCAGGCTTAATTACATGAATTAAATTTAATTGAGCCTAGCTAATCAATACTAAGTTCTTACCGCTCAAGCGGCGTAGAATACAATAATTTAGGGGACCAGGCTGATCTCTCATGCGACAGGATCGTAAATTATTGCCAAGACGAACGAGCTTACGGCCCCTTAATCGCTACTAATCTCTTAGCGAACGATTAAGTGTGTGTGAATGTGTCCTAGAACAAATTAGATCTCTCTTAATTTATTCTATATGCAATTGTAATTCTAGTGGCCATTCTAGGTTACAAAAGATATCAATTAAATTATTCAAACAAAAATTAAACGGCATTCATGCAATTTACACCATCAAGAATCTAGCCATACATCATGATTAACCCCTTCATCAATCCCAAATCCCTGATTAAATTACTCACAATTCATAATTGAAGAATCAACAGAATTGGGAAGAATAGAATAAATTGTCATTAATTAAAAAGATGAACTTACAAATAATCCCAGGGTCTTGGAAGAAAATAGCGTAAAACGGTGTTAAATTCATCCCTAGGCCTCTCCGTAATGTTTGCCACCCTAAAAAGGGTTAGGGAGGCCTTATTTATAGAAAAGAGGGGAAAAATCACAATTCTGGTCGATGTGGGAAATTTCCGCGCGTAACTCGGTGCTACGCACGATCGTGCGTCCATGGCTACGCACGATCGTGCGTAGCAGGCAGTAGCTCCTCCACGGTTTTGGCTCTTACGCACGATCGTGCGCCCGTGTTCTTCAGCCTTTTCTATAGTCCGAAGTTGACAAAACTTCCAAAGTTTTTGATAATGAAGTCCTCTATCCACCCCAACTTGCCGAATGTGATTTGAATCACCCAATCAAGAGATATGATCAAAACGGTGGAAGGTGTCATTCTGAAATCGCAGCAGAGATCATCTGACTTCGTCATCTGTTTTCACTTTCTTGCTCTCCTATTCTCGTAATGGTTTTTTCATATGATTTGTAGCCTTTGAGGTTGTCTTTCATATACAACTCGAATCATGTCCATTAGTTGTTTCTACAAAGAGATATTCTTGAATGATTGACATAAGGTCATCTTGATCGTCGTTTTCAAGCTTCATTCATCTTCTTTTGATCCCGAAGCCAATCCTAGAGCTCTTTTGTCATCAAATCTTCATCGTAAACCTCCCGCTGACCTCCATAACTCTCAAATCAATCTCAAATGCTTTTCAACTCATCCCGATTTCTCCTCAAGCGCCAGTTCCGAACTCTAAAATCCTGATTTTAATTCCAAATGACACAAAACTCGAACCAATGCCCGGTAAACATAACTTGAGCTGAAATTGAGACTTGTAACACCTTAAAGCTAGGGAAAACCATCAAACCCGATCCCAACACGCATCAAATACATGTCTAAATACGGACTTATCAGATTCCCCCACACTTAAGCTTTTGCTTGTCCTCAAGCAAACTGAACAATGGGGTTTACGATAATCACCACACGGAATCAAAACAATTAGCATGCACATGTAGTTAAAGGGGTATTCACAGAACAGACAAATTAAACCAAGAAAATTCTTCCCTAAACTACATCTTTGTACTCTAGCTAAAATATTTGACAAAGTTATTCACAACATCCTCAAAGTAATGACAGCATACACAAATAAACTAGTTATTGATTAGAAGGACTTGTGAAGGTAATGGTGAATGGTGATAAGGAGTCCCTTTTTTTTTAGAATATTAAAGTGATTTTATTTTATACGTAGTATATGTCTTTGTATATAGTACGTACTTTATGTGATCGTGTCATAGTCGAACATACAATAAAATGAAAGTATTTGGTTCAATCCAATTAAATCAATCATAACAACAACATCTAGGAGGTTTATAGTCACGGGAAATGCATATTCCTTTACTTGTACCCTTCAACTTCTGACAACTCACAATGCACTCCGGGTTCCCGCTGCATGGGGGATGCGCCACGGGAAGACAATTCCACGGATCATTAAGATAGTATAATGCATTTCTTTGGGCATTCACAACTGAGCCAGATGCCAGAATCATCACTATAATGAAGCAGAGGGTAACCATACAAGCACATGCTTTACCCCCCAAACGTAGATTAAACCCGGTCATGCTTCTTACTTTGCTGGATTTAACGTCTCAAATAAGCGGTTCCTTTCTTTTGAGAGATTGGAATATTCTAACAAAGACTCAATGCATTCAGAAACTTCAGGGCTATTCTTAGGATCAAGGAACTCAGTAGGCCACAATTTAGGAAGAATCATCTAAACCTATGCAGTGGCGGACCCAGAAACTCAGAATCACGGGGTCCCTAGTGTAATGTAACTCTAATTAATAAAAAATTAATAAAAAGAAGAAGTAAAATATTAAAATAGCACAACGTTTCATAGTTAACGTATACAACAATTTTAAAGATATTCCAATATTTTAAAGAAATGTCCACTATCAACTAGAGTCCGTTTGGTAACACTGAAATTGGCTGAATCGGTTGATTCTACCGAAATTTATGAAGTTCTGACTGAAGTGGCTGTATTAACTGTTTCTGGTGATTATGAAAAATTATATTTAAAATATATTATATTAATAAAATAAAGAAGAAATGATATGAAAAATAGATAAAATGATCATCTACAACAATTTCAGTTAATACAGTCTGAAAAGTAACTTCAACCTTAATTTTCTTATTATTACACAATTCAGCGCGCAAAATCAAAAGTTACATGTTTGGTTAAAAAGTTGGTTGATAAGCCTGATAAGTCGAAAAACAGAGTCACTAAATGGGCACTAAAATTTTATAAAGTTAATGTCCTCTATCAACTAAAAATAATCGGCATGCATATGAGAAATCAAATTTAAAAAGCCTACATTTGAAAATTTCGATCCAATTACTTTGCATTATTTTATTTGGATTTTTATTTAAAATATATTCATTAGCTTTGTTTCTAATTTAATTTAATACAATTACCAATTTATTTGTGTAACTTTAAGGACTTCTTTATTGGACTAATTTTAGTCTTAGATCAAATCACATCAAGCCAAATTATGTGATTATGGCTCAAGCGACCGAATCTGCTATATTAGGAAAGAATGATATTTAAATTATATGTTATCAGATATGAAAAAGTCATATGAAAAAATGACTAAGATGATGCTCTACGGTAACTTCAGTAATCTCGCCGAAAAAATGTTTTTAACTTGCTTATTTTAATTATTACAAATTCAGTGCGTGAATTCAAGAATTACGCCAAATAATGCGATTATGGCTCAAGCGACTGAATCTGCTATAGTAGGAAAGAATGATATTTAAATTATATGTTATAAGATATGAAAAGGTCATATGAAAAAGTGGTTAAGATGATGCTCTACGGTAACTTCAATCATCTGGTCGAAAAAATGCTTTTAACTTGCTTATTTTAATTATTACAAATTCAGTGCGTGAATTCAAGAATTACGTGTTTCATAACGAAATTAGTTTATAAAACAGATAAGCTGAAATTTGGAGATACATACTGGCTTTACAGTAGTATTTCTTATGAAAAAATTGGGCATAGGTTGAGAAAATTAGATGCTTTGCAGTAGTATTTCTTAGGGAAAAAATGGGCATAGGTTGAGAAAATTAGATTAAAAGTTGGACAATAGAGGTGCATGATAACAATAGGTGGTTGGTTGTTCCATAATTTTATTTTCAAAAAAATAGACACCTCATATCTGAAATTATATGTTATAAGATATGAAAAAGTCAT